GAAAATGAATAAGTAGGGCATAAAACTCTGGATGAGACAATTATATGAAATCCAGGATCAAATTTTATACCAGGCACAGAGCATAAAACATGTCAAAATACAACCACGGTGGCTACATTTCAGCTGATTGATCCCATGCTGCTTTATAATCGATTTTCCAGCAAGTTAAACTTTCAGTGACACATAGGGCACAGCTAAATGGGCACAGCGCATTTGTACAGATGCACCAAGGCTACAAATAGCCCGATGCATCACTACAACTTTTGTTTATCTGTGATTTCACAACTCTCGTAATCAGACCCGCACCGGACAAACACTAGTGGCATTTACTTTGTCTTATTTTTTTTTCAGAAGTCATTAAAACTGCATCACTTTGATGTTGAAAGCCTTGCTGATGCACAAATGGGAGATGAAGGTAGGAGTAAGGGAGTGTGCATTTATTCCATCAACAGTGTGCATGGTGAGAGAGGGAAGGGGGTGAAGAGAGGAAGAAATAAGCAGGCTACGTGCCCTAGCTGATGATCAGTGCCTTGGCTTCATATTTGCAATTAGTGAAGGGGGGGGGTGGGTTCATTTTTGATTAAATCTTTGCTCTTATACTTCACTCAAGAGGACTTAATCACTTTTTATGTGGGCGTGCTTGATTGTCTGATTATCACCACGTTTTGGCCATGCTCCCTTCCAATCAACTCCTCTGAGCAGCCCCTTCTCCTCAATTGATTTGTAACAGTCACAGCAAACCCTGATGATCGAGCGCCAGCCTAATGACCATACATCAAGCGACAGAGATGAGGGCGTGCTGCAGACGTGCCATTGATGCACATCACCGAGATCCGCCCTAATAGTTGTCCTCTATTTTGACATCTGCGGGGAGAAACGGAATGAATCGTTGTCTTCCCAGCAGGATGGTTGACTTCTTGATGTACAGTAATGAGATTATTAGAGTCCCGGAAGCAACTCTGACACTCATTTAATGGCTGTGCCTCTAACTGCAGCTAAATTTTAATATCTGAATGAGACAGAAATGAAACCGTCAGCAGATCAGCTTTAGAAAACATGAAGTTTCTGCCTTGTGCTCTGTCAGTGAGTGAAGGCAAACGGTTTTAGTCTCGTGTTTAAATGGCGTTAATAGGTTTGAAGATTTCAGCCAGAGGACAGGGGAATGCACTTTGGAAATTACGCATGCCTGCACGGACAGCAGACATCAGCTTCGAGTGTTATTTTCTGCAGTTGTTGAATCGATAGACCTTAAACTGTAATACACTTGGCTTAGCTTTTGTTTGATGAGAGTGTGGCTGTATCAAGGACACGGCACAGCTGATACATTTTCTTCCTGACCAGATAATGATGAGCTTTTCCAAACAATGACTGTTGATCCAAATTGCCTAAAACACCGGTGAGAAAACTCAAAACCCAAAAAACCCACTAAGAATCGCCACCCTTCTCTGTAGCCCCCTTGTCTACGAGGTTCTACAAAAGCCTTATTAGCACTTTTTAGGTAATGTTTTGCTTTTACAGACCCCAACTCTATTGTTTGGTTCAGATAAGGTTCATCAACTTCATTTCCACATGTAGCAGGCAGCTTGTTTTCAGTGCAGACGTTCTGATAAAATCATTGTATGCTACCTGTCCAGTTCCAAAACAACAGACAAAGTTAGCAACTAGCTGGTGAACATCGTAGAGACTCAGATATTTGTTGAGACTAAAGCAGAGCTGAAATTAGACTAAAGAAAGGCTTCTTAAATGTGATAATTCACAGTTTTCAATCATTATAAATATAATCTATCTTCTATTTTGTACAGATAGACAAAGTTAGCAACTAGCTGGTGAACATAGTGGCGCTAAAGACTCATATCTTCCTCAAGAATTGGTGGAGACTACAGCAGAACCAAAATTAGAGTAAATAAAACTGTTTGCAGCTTCTTAAATGTGAGAATTCGAGGTTTTTCTCTATTTAAAATCATTATAATTAGAATATGTTACGTTTTGGACAGTCTGACAAAACATGAAATCTGAAGACATCACATGAGCTCTGGGAAACTTGGCTTTTTTTCCCCACTATTTTCTAAAATTATCCCAATTATCAAAAGGGTAATTAAAAGTGTATTCACTTGTAGCCGCACATACAAACTCTGACGCTTTCATATGTGCGCATTTTTGGTGGCTGCTAAGTATTATTTCTGCCATTTTCAGGATGTTTCTCTTTCCAACAATGCAGTGTAATAATGTAACACTAGCTGTGAAATTGCTGTGAAATGAAACAAGACAGTTGCCTGATTCTGTCACAGCACAATCCATTTTTAGATGTATGAATAAAACATTTAGGCACCTTTCTTAGAGGTTGCTACTTTGCTCTGCAAATGAACACAGGATAAGACAAGAGGGTATTCCTCCTCGTCTGGGTTGAAGCACCCATTCTGTCAAATCCCACGTTATTTACTGTATATTTTAGCAGCAGGCACCCAATGACATGTTCAATTCAAGGAGTTCTGCCCAAGGATCTGGGTCTTTTTTTATCAAACAGCTGCACCCAGTCTTCCAACTAAGTTAGAGCAGGCAGTTCATGTTCATTCAGAGTTTGGAGGATTTGCATCATCTCCTAAAAATTACCATCCAGGCTGTAACCTGCGCGACAACTTCAAAGCGCCACGCTGAGCTGATTGACATGACGACTTTCACACCTCCCATTGGGAGAGTGGGTTGTCTCCCGTCTCGTATCTGGACAAGCCCTGTCCCCTATCAAGCATTTGTGTCTCACTCATGCACAAAGCTGTCATTTCCCAAATGCATCAGCCCCCCAGAAAGGTGTCACTGGGGATTATGGGATACCTCAGGGGGATTAAAAATGTTCTTGACAGACTGGCCGCTTCACTTATTCCCAGAAGTCACTTTTTGCTGTCTTTTCTGTGAGAGTATCGGTAAAAAAAAAAACAAAAAAAAAAACAAGGTACGCATAACATTTCCAACCACGGAGGCCGTGACTCACATTGTGTTAGGGAAGTGTCATGTTTGACCTTGCAGATTTCTTAGCACACAGCTGCTTTTTATGTTGACGGTGCAATAATTAGGATTCCATTTCTGTGTGCACTTTTTTTTTTATTTTTTACCTCACATCTTATCATGAAACGTCTCTTTCAAAACTTCACATTTTTCTTGATAGAGGCAATTATCGACCAAGAAAGTGTCGGCAGTTCCCTGTAGTGGAATTGCTTATTTGCTGCTCGCTAATGTCCAGAGTTTTTAATCAAGCACAGGGAGGAAGAAAAAAACAAAACAATACAGCGCAGTACGTGCTGAGTGCATTAATCCTCCTCCTCCTCCTCCTCCTCCTCCTCTCCTGTCTTTGTCTAATTAAGGGTCATTCTGTCGCCTGGCCACATTAGGACACTGCACACCAGTCCCAACCCACATAATTAAATATTTTTTGTTCTAACCATCTGGAGACCTCATCTCTTTAAACATGCATGTCAAATTGATTCCTTAATAATGTTTATGTTTCTTCTCAGTGCTTTATTATCATCCAGGATTAGCTGTTTATGTTTATTTTGCATTCATCAGCAGCACCCGCCACACACACACACACACACACACACACACACACACACACACACATAGAGCAACAACACCCTTAAGGTAGGAGTACAGCTAGCACATCAGCTAACCAGCCAGCAAACCAAACAACCGTGAACTTCAAAGCAGTGGACGAATTTAATGTTAGACAAACCACGTCTTCATGCTGCAAATATCTCTGTATTGTCTAATACTCGGGACACAATGCCACATGAATGCTGAGGGATTGTTTTTCTTTTGGTGTTTTTTTTGGTTGCCACAGTGGGATTTTATGGTTCATTCATGCGTCAAATAATATTAGCAAAAACATGTTTCACCAATAAATAACCTTTCTTTCCTGCTTTGTCAGCCTCGCAAGGGCATTTGTGATTAAAACTCCAGGTTTATTCAATAAATAAACATTTGAGGTGGAAAGTGATATTTGCTGTTGTTGTTTTGTTTTTTTCTTCCTTCCTCTCACCCTTTTCCAAAGCATGTCATCCCCCTTTTTCTTTCTTTTCCCCCTCTTCAAATGGCCCTGTTGTTGAAATACAGACATATGTGCAGTCAGAGGAGCGTTGCGCCTTTCTCATTCTCTTTCTCTCGGAGTGCAGTTGAGGGGATTAGTCTGTGCCTGAGTGCCTAGAATAATGATCACTGCAGCGGAGAAACACATTTTCACATTTCACGAGATAAGGGCAGGCAATCTGCAAGCAGAGGACTTAACCAGCTCCCTGTGGCTTATTGTGGAGCTAACAGAAAAGTCACCACCAACCGCCAACAACCATGCTATACCTTACCCTCTGCACAGGCAGGAAGAACACCCACTACTATCTCTGCCACCGTGAGGGTCATCACTCACTCTGAAATGACACTGAAATTACATTCAAAATTTTTCTAACGATGAGACTCCCTGGCTCACTATATCCCCATTGTACAACTGTCCAATTTCTTATGGTGGTTCATTTCCCACCAAGTGATCAAATCTGGGTTCATTTCCCACAGAGAAACCAAATCTAATATTTCAGTTCAAAGATAGCTTGATGTAGAGGGCCATTCTCACTTTCAAACTTAATCCACCCTTACATAGCTGGCTTCCCATAGTGGCAGCCATGCTGAGAGGCACTCCTTAATTACAACGACTAAAACTTTTTTTTTTTTTTTCTGGACCTTATCACAAGAGGAATTCGGTCAGATATTGTAATGACAGGAGAGAGAAAAAAAAAACAAAAACACACACCTTCACAAATGAGAACTGCATTTCCACATCACAGCATGTACAATGCCTACGTAGCAATCTACCTCAAGAGAACAGCTTGCTCCTGCTGTAACCCATTTCTCAATAAACAAGAGGAGAGACAAAAATGCCAAGTAAGCTGTTCAAAAGCGAGTTCCCTGGGATCAAAAGATTTCTTTTTTTTACACTTACAGTTAGTTCAGTGAAATCCTACCTTTCCCACATACTGCGCATCTGGTCCCATGTGTTCTTCTAAAACAAAGAATTGGTTCCAGATCCAGCCACGCTTGGGCCTGTGGTGCACTTCCGTCTCCCCGTTGGCCAATTTGGTCTGGTTCTTGGAGAGCACTTTGGCGGGGACATGGTGGCTCGCCCCATAGCACCTCTGGATGAAGCAGAGGCAGACCAGAAAGGGACAGAGACAGGAGGTGGTGGATATCCTCATGGTGGCACGCGCTTTTGTAAAGTTATCCCTGTGTTCCGAGGTGGCAAGGTCCTCCCACCACCACCACCGCAGCCTCCACCACTAGCCACCGCTGCAGGCCCGCAAAGTAGTCCAGGCAAAGGGGGAATCTAAATCCAAACTAAGGAAACAGCGGTCCTGGTAGCTCCTCTAAGGTTCATGGCCAAAAACCAAAGATTTAATCAAAAAGAGAGAAAAAGCAAAGATACATTTACATTATGGAATTTCCCAGGCTGTGAGATGCTGTGCAAATGGATGTGAACTTCTGGGTAGTTCTACCAAGAGCAGAGGTTAATCCTTGAAGCCATTCTGGATTTCCTGAGAGAGAGACAAGGGGAGAGAGAAACACAGAGTTAGAGATTAATTTGATGGATATTAGAAGCTAAATGTCCACTAATTCCCTCCAATTAAATTGCGGCTCATAAATCCTTACAGATGAGGACGTGCACTTGAAACTGGCGAACTGTGATAAAGTACAAAAAGGCAATAAGGAATCCTGTTTCAGGATTCCAGCCAGTTTTTGCCATTATGCAGATGATACAAACAAGTTTGGACTTGAGGAGCTACAGTGCTATTAAAAGGCTGTCCATGCCTATGAGGGCAGAGCACTGCTTGGTGACTGATACTGCCATGTGAGGTCAGAGTCACGTATCAGAACAGTGCAGTGCTGGCCCCTGCAACTCAAAGGATGAGTTGGCTTTATTAAAACACATCAGAAAAAAGGTTTGATTTGGATGTTTTAACACGACCGGGGCATACTGCGAGGCTTAGTGTGTGCCTTGGCACGATGAATAATAAGGGTGGCGGGAAGAAATACATTCACTATGATAAGGACAGACATCAAGCCACTCAAACGTAAGGCAGAGGGTGATTTTTAGAAGGCACTGGAATGGAAAAGACAGAGGGAAATAGTTTTTATAAATCAAAATTATATATTGAGGATGGCACTGAAGTAGTAAAAAAAATAACTGCAAGTATTGTTGAATTTCTATGTTAGTGAAGCACTCCTCCTGCAACTCCTCTGCAAGAATGTGCATGGCACCTCTGCAACTCCTTAAAGAGGAGGCATTATAGAGAATTGTTTGGTCTTTGGGTGGATTTTAAAGTTAGATGTGCTGCTGAAGCATGAAATCGGTCCTCACTTCTCACATTTTTTCTTTTTCTTTTTTTTTTTTTTAAGAGAGGAAATTGCATCATTTGCCCTTGCTGTACTGAGATGCCCTTCGGTGTGATTTCACAACTAAAGAAAACAATGATTCAGAATCTCATCTACGTTGTGATACAGTGAGATTAAAGGCCTTTCTAAAAACAAGAGTATGTCAAGTTGGAACTTGCGTTGGCACAACAGTTGACACAGAATACTCTATTTGCAACTGGGACAAAAGCATTGTGCCAGGCTCTGGTGATTACACTTTAAAACTGTACACCTGCTGTGTGACTAAATATTCTCATCTCAAAAGGAGATGATGTTGAGACCATTTAACTGGCTTTTTTTTTTTTTAGCTTTAAACCACATTCATGTGTTCAACAGATATACCTATTATTATTACTGCAAAATAAACAAAAGATAAACACTGTACTGCCATTGTTTTTTTTTTATGAAAGTGTGGCAATATCTGTACATACAGGGAGCCACAAGTAAAGAGGCTGTTTAATGAAAACATGAACCTTAGATTTACCTTCAGGCACATTTGACTAGCAACAAATGTTAGGTTTTGACTGTTGTGAAGTTTAGCTTCCAAAAGGAATTACATCTTATGTGGGCTGCAACCAACATATTACCAAGAGGTAAAACTGTTCACAATGACCATGAACACTGACCAGCTGGTCTTACCCAGCTAGCAAGTCCTCACATCTCAGAAATATTGGAGAAAATTTAGCATGTTTGCTTAACAGTTGTATAATTAACATTTAAACAGCTGTGATTATGGCTCATATTCTTCGCTAGTAGCTCCCAAAGCTTGTCTGATAAAATGGGTGAAGGCTTACAAGACACTTGGCTAAATGCAGACTCAGAACTGGGACAATACTTCAGCTTTTGATTCACATTTTCACAAAAACACAAGTTCAAATATGAACAAAAAATGAGGCAGTAGTAATGCCACCCAATCAGCGTGGTGGATTATGTATGACGCTAGTCTTAAGGAGCTATTTTTAAGTTTTGCTATCGCTACTTAACAGCGTGAGAGTTAACAGCTGTTTATGAACTAGTCTTGGCAAGAGCTTCAGCTTTTATTGTGTTTACAATATGAGAGGTTATAATACGCCCGTGGAGCTGCACTAAGTCTTCAGGGCAGACTGGACACTAGTGACTTGGTATCGGAAAGTGACAAGACAGTCTGACCAGGTTGGGGCTAGCCTGCTAACTTCAGTAGAAGAAAAGAAGTGACAGAAGTAGAAGAAAAACAAGAGGGTTGAGACAGGAATAAAGTTTGATGCTGAACTCGCAACGTCTCTTCTAGACTGGAGTGTAAGTAGTTATTAATGCTAACGTTGGCTATGTAGCGATTGCAAAACTTACAAAAAGCTCCTTCAAACAAACCAGCCTGTTTCAGTGGATTGAGTGGACATTTTCATAACAATAATAATAATAATAATAATAATAGGAGGAAGTACACTCGGTCTCAAATACTGACTTCCAGCAGGAGAGTTGGTTCAACATTTAAAGTGCTGCAGTAGAATAGCAGCTTCGTGGGGATTATCGAGAGGACAAACACATGTATTTGATATTTAATAGGATATAGGAGCTGACACACTTCAAAGGCTGCTGCTCTCCATCTCTTACAATGCATGTGACAACATTAGAGAGAAACGCTAAAACGAGACATTAATGCAACTTACGACTGTCACACACTTTGAAGGATAATCACTGAATTATTTTTTTTATGAATATAAATATTTTTACATATATATGGATTAAGATGTGCTTAGAAGCCCTTGACTAATCCCCCGTGTTTCAAATATCTCTACATGCAAATTACGCAGCTCAAGTATAGTTGTTGGTGATGTTCACTAAGTGCAGTGGTTGTCATGGGCAATACCTACTGCCAGCCCGGGCTGTGAAAAAGAAGGCAAAGTCTGTTCCACATCTACTTGGATTAAGGCAGCAAAGGATAAATACTCAGAACGACACTAAACATGTGTAATCTGGAAAAAGATTCTCATCTGCATAGGTACAGCTACGCCCAAATCCAGCTTCCCCTGCCCTCTTTCTGTAAAACGATAGCGGGCCCTGCAAAGACTACTGATAAAGTTCTTTCAAAAAGGCTGTTTTAGAGATTTTAAGGTTTTTCTTCTTGCTTCAATCTAATTTTTTTTCTGGTTAAGTAATATCTTAATTCAACCACACTGGAGCAAATTTCCCTACACAGTCGAAGCACTGGTGAGACAATGGTGGTACCTGGGTGAGTCAGACTCTGTGTCAGAATGAGAATATCTTTTCCAGTGGTTTCACTTTTGCCTCCTGGGGCTCTCTTCAATCAGTCTCCTAATTGTCTGATTATCATGCTGATTCCAAGCAAAATACATTTCAGGGAGCCATGAAATCAACAGCATCTGGCTCCGTCAATGGAAATAATTTCCCCCTTTTTATGTTGATGATATTGTTTTGAGCAGCCTTCTGCCCACGGCATGTTTATATATGTGTGCAGCATCTAACAGGATAGGTTATGCACAGTGACAACCACAAAGATTTTGGCAGGGTGCACACAAGATGGCTGTGTTTATATACACATGTAATTCTTTTTGATTCGGTTGTGTTAGTGCTGTACCTTGATTGCAACATCATGATGAAGTTCATGAAGTGGAGTCAAAGCTGCTATAGCTCCACTGTCCAAAAAAAAGACTATTAAAAACATAATGGGCCACATCATTGCACTGGAAGATGTGTTACATGCTGCTGGGAATATAGCACGGAAGGTGTATTCATCCATTGTTGAAAATAGTCCCACAAATGCACTGTTTTCTCCTGTTTGAGTTCTGTTTACTATGACTGCTGCAGTGCCCGGCTGATGTAGAAAATGAAATTATACGTTTGTGACCTGTTTTCAAAGATTTGCATCATCGCTATGGACTAGAGGGTTATGGACTGAGTCACAGACATGGTAGGGAAATCAGAAAATACTGAGAGATGGACTAAAATATGTAAAAAAAATATATAAGAATTACATACTGTATATAAATATTGTATGACACCAGCCTGAAAATTTTATCAGATTCTTGTGAATTTCACGTATCATTTCACTTTTCCCTTTACTATCTGTAAAAATCGAACTAGGGCTGAATGATTAGTTGATTAATTGATTAGTCAGCTGACAAAAAAAATCATTCAGTCATTCATCATGCAAAAATAAATATTTGTTGCTGTCAGATTTTCTAATGTGAACTGTTTCTGCATTTTTGGCTCTTTTTGACATTGCATTAACTAATTCATTTTGATTCATAATGCGTAGCTGATGCATTTCTCTGTCTACTCAGCTGACAAATGTATCCTTTAAATCTCTGTAACTATGTTTAATGTTTTAAATCATTTTGTATCTCTGAAAAACTTGTGGCTAAGACACCTAAACACTGTGTCTCTGTCTGCTGTTTTATTCATGGAAACAGGAAAACCCAGATCGCAGGGAATCAAGCGGTCATGTAAACAACTTAAATTGAATAAGACCTAAGCCGGAGTAGCCAACAGTTCTTGCACGTAACCACAGCCACTGATTAAACTGCAGAAGGTGAAACACTTGAAAAGGATGAAAAATAATACTAAAATGAACGGCAGCAAGAGAGGGAGGGATGTTGAGAGAGCAAGAGAGATGCACCTCAGCTCCTTCCGGCAGAGAGGGAGCACAGGCTCCTGTCGCCTGCCGCTAATAGCTAATGCCGTGGCCTCCTGCAGAGAGCTCACCCACTGCATTCGATTTCACACCATCAGCTGTCTGCCGATGTCAAACGCCAGATAGCAAAAGACCGGGGTGGGTCAAAAACGCATA